TTATGCACAAGAAAACACAAGAATCGTGCTTTGCTGTGTACTGCAAGAATGCCGGCAGAAATACAGCCTTCGCTTCTGACTGGCTTGGTGTCACTCGCTGCCGGTGAGGGCGACACAATACAGTGAGACAGTGAGTGCTGTGGGTGTTCAGGCTCTCAGCCACGGACGCTGAGGTACCGACGCTCCTGCTGTCTGATGTATCACTCCGTCCCCCGCCCACCACTTATTGCATGTCGAGTTCTGTCCATTGAGCACGATTAGAAAGAAAGCAATGTGCTGGCTGTGACCTAGTTCTCGGCTTCATGTTAAAACTAAAAGACGTAAATATGAAAGAAAGAACAATTTTGGATGCCTGGGATCTTATTATTTTAGCCTAATTTCCTTATTCTGAAAGAAAAATTGAAGTAAGCTTATGCGAGCTCCATGTTGTCTGTGAGACTGTGAATTCCTCCCAATTAAATTTTGAATGCCTGAAGCGGGTCTCTATGAAACTTGTTATGTGTATCATGGCACCTGTGCCCATCTCAGCGGTGTACTTCATAGGTCTCTCCCATCGGCCTACGTTCTATTACTTACTTACTTACTTACTTACTTATGGAGCTGAGCCCTTCTTGAGGAGAAGCCCAATCTGCAGCTACTCAAGAATTTCCCAGCATTTTATGGAATCCGAAGGTTCATTTCGCTGTACACAAGAGCCCTCCGTTGGTCCCTATCCTGAGCCAGATCAATCCAATCCATACCATCCCATCTGTATAAGGCTTCTAGCATTCCATGTATCGAATCTCATGACCATTTTCTTTAGCTTAGGCCGTTTATCCAGAGGATCCGTCCAGGTCCGGGGCTTTGTGTTCATTTTCGTAACATGATTATATTTTATGGTTGTTAGCCTCACGTCCAACACCCAAGCTGTAGGACCACCCCTTCTCGGCTGTCCGCGACTGCTTATTCAATATATTCGCAGCTTCCCTCCATGCCTGGAGGGCGAGTCCTCCATCCGCAACCTGAGGACGCGCCATGCCTTGGTGACAAGGGACCCACCTAACATGGCGTCTGATTCTGTACAAAGGCAAAAGGTAAAGGTAAAGGGTATCCCTGTAACAGGCCGTGGAGGCCCAGAGGTTGAGAGACGTCGGCGCTCCCACATTTTCTCTGCACAGTCGGCTCACAGATGGCGGGAAGGTTGTCAGCCTTACGCGCTGGCCGCCCTTTACTACCAGGAATATTCCTGGTACTTATTTCTGTTAGAGGCTGAGGCCATAGTGCGGCTGGAAGGATTAGGCCGATTGAAAAAAAAAACACCTCGTCGGCACTCGAACCCGCGACCTTCCAGCTTGTAGCATAGTGCTTCAACCAATGACAGTCGTTTATTAAACCCCCAAAATAAATAAATAAAATAAAATGAAATAAAATATACTGACTGTGGAGAGGGCTCCTTGTGGGGACAATTATGGACTTTCGAGTGCCACAAGTTTCTTGGCTGACCGCGCGAATCTTACCTTCTCTTTGTCGAATTAGTAGACGCATGTGTATTAATTAATATTGTATGGTTCGTTAACGACGATTGATCTTTTTATTATACATTGACGGGTTTGGCTGTCTGGCCTGTTGCTGTTTTTTTTTTCTTTTTTTTCTCCTGGGCACTACAGCCCCAGTGGGCCTAGGCCTACCTCCATGAACTTCTCCGTTCACTTCGGTTTACTAGAGCTTACACATTCGGTAGGACTCCTTGGGCGGGTGATCAGCTCGTCGCAAGGCCTCTACCTGTACACAAACACAGAAAAACGCACACAAACATCCATGCCCTGAGTGGGATTCGGACCCACGATCCCGGTTTCCAAGCAAGCGAAGACAGTGCACGCCTTAGACTGCTCGGCTACCGTGACCGGCTGTTGCTGTTTAGAATCAATTAATTAATTCTTGCAGTCAGTCGATAGGATTCCTTGAACTGGTGATCAGCCCGTAGCAAGACTGCTACCTATAAAGGACAACATAAACACAATAAATGTAGATAGCCATGCTTCGAGTGGGATTCGAACACACGATCCCTGAGTTTGAGCGGGCGAAGATATAATTAATTGCGATTTTAAGACAAAATTACGTTAGGAATAACTGCACTGTCCTTGCAGAGAGATCTTACCGACAAGTGTGTTCGGTGAAAGTTACTGGATGAAAGTAACAGGGTGAGATTTACTAGGAAGAGAGGCCATTATATACAATGCATTGACCTTTAAACCGTCTGCTCAATATATGCCACAAAATGGAACTCCGTGTAAATTAATTTCCCCGTTCCTATTGGACTAGTCCGCTTGGCAATCGTCTTGCGCTGTGTTTCCGAGAAGTATTTCTTGCACACGCAGATAGCTGTGGGCGGTGTATGTAGCAGACTAGCCACTTCCTGTCTGCGCTTTCATCAGGAAAGCCAGACGTTCTGCTAAGCTCATCTGCTTTGTGTTAGAAGGATGGTAATGATGCCATAATTTTGATGGTTCTGAAGTGTACGAACAGCGAACATATTGAAATGTGATTCTGTTGACTTCACGGCATTGCGTAAAATGCTTGCCATTTCCCGTTCTTCTCTTTGTGGCATAGGGCATGGTGTCTTGAACTGAGGGTCGCGACTACGCTAAGGGAAAGAGGTCGTCGATTAAAAAAAATTGTTTAAAATGTAATTGTATTCATGCACAGTTTCAGCAGGCCACGGTCAGATGATCTTTGAAAATGTAGCTGCAGCAGACGAAACATTTCCTGAGCTTTAGGGAACATTTTGTAGCTTGTTCTCTTCTCCAAGCTCTCCAGACGGGCTCTGAGGCCCACCCAACCTCCTATCCAATGGGTACCGGGTCATGAAACTGACCACTCGCCTCCAACTAGTACCGAGGTCAAGAAAATGTGGATCTACACATGCACTCCCCCATTCCTAGAGCACGGATTTTTTTTTTGGGGGGGGGGCGCGTTTCCCAATTTATGGGAAGTGTCCAGTGGCAGTGGAATTTAACCCTATGGTTCCAATAGAGGTGGTCAATTTGTTGACCATGCGAGTCACTGTTGTCGCCTTTTGAACCGCTCCACCATGTGGGGATTGTGTCTCGTCAACATTAATATACAGTTATATTACTGTTCTGTGGTTATGACGAAAATGTAGGCCATCCATTTTGAAGTGTTGTTATGCAAATTTTGATGGGGTTTGTCTCCGACAGGAAGAGAAACGTTTTTCACTGCTAATGACATTTCGTTGCTGAGGTTTGCGTAAATAAGCATTGTGTGGTAAACAATGCAGGTAGGCCACTGCTTAATGGCGGAGCAAGCCATGTTTACAGCTGCCATTACGGTGGGATCATTATGAGAGAACAGTTTGGGAGTGTCCCGAGTCTCACCGACCGTCGCGGTTGAGTCGTTACCACTCATGCTTCATATCCTATAGGATTCGGTTCGATTCTCAGTCTATCGAAGACCGCACTTCCTATCGTAGTTCTCCAGTCCCTTCCGTCAGTTCTAGGACAGTACCTTAAAATAAGCCACAACCTTTCCAACATACTTTCCAAGTTCTCGACTCATGGGGGTAAAGGGCGGCCGGTGCATAAGGCTGACAACCTTACCGCCATCTGTGAGCCGATTGTCTAGATAATGTGGAAACCTCAACGTCTCACAACCCTGTGGGTCTCCAAGGCCTGTTACAGGGATACCCTTACTTTTACTTTTATTTACTTTCCAAGTTCATCACAGAAGCATCTTCCCAGCTGTCGCTGTACAGCCGAATAAACAAAGAGTGTTAAGGGCTGAGTGTCCCAATGTCCAAGCTCATGGCCATGGAGGTTAAGACAAAGGTGTTATAGATATCGACACAAGATGGCCCTTGGACGTGGCGACAAAGACATTTCTGTCTCTGCCAAGAACCGTATCCCGGCCACCGAGACATTTCTTTCCCCTTGGCACTACAGCCCCCGTAGGCCTAGGTCTACCTCCATGAACTTCTCCGTTCCCTTTGGTTTTTCTAAATCTTACACATTCGGTAGGACTCCTTGGGCGGGTGATCAGCTCGTCGCAAGGCCTCTACCTGTACACAAACACAGAAAAACGCACACACGCAAACTAAACGTCCATGCCCTGAGTGGGATTCGAACCCACGATCCCGGTTTCCAAGTGAGCGAAGACAATACATGCCTTAGACCGCTCGGCTACCGTGACCGGCACCGAGACATCAGCCAGCCATTTTATTATCTGAACAACCCAGACCCATAAATTGGGAAACGTGCCCCCCTCCTCAAACCGTGCTCCAGGAATGGGGAAGTGGATGTATAGATCCACATTTTCTTGACCTCTACACTAGCTGGAGATGAGTGGTCAGCTTCACGCTCCTGCCGCTTTACCCCCGAGGAAAGAGACCCAGGTATCCGTTGGATAGGAGGTTGGGTGGACCCCAAAGCCGGTCTGGACGACATGGAGAAAAGAAAATTCTTTACCTTACTGGGACTTGAATTCGGACCCTTCAGTCGTCCAGGCCGTAGGCAGTCGCTATACCGACTGAGCTACCCCGGCTCGGCTGCTGTACTGGTTGTCAGTGCGGTTCCATTATGTTCATTTAATTCCAGTTTCCCCATCTTTTTTACGGAACTCGTTAGCGCCATTCAAGTCCAAGTTCATTTGTGATGGTTCGTAGTTACTGTTTACTGTAAGAGGCTTTTGATCTCATTCCAACCCGCAGGTAGAGTGTCACCCCTTGTCTTCTGTCCAAGACCGCTGACTCACAATATCTGCTTAAAAAAAAAAACTACAGCGTTAGGACGCGACATGACGTATTGTTATGAAACTCTCTGAGAATGGAAACCCGGCAAGTGGCGCCAATCCACGGCTTTCCTTAAAGAGCGCAGAAAAGTTTTGATGCAGACTGGATCAGATAATTCGATTCTTCTATAGAGCAATGATACCGCTTTACTGTCACAACGTTTCTCATTCATTTTATTTTCAGATTCTCTGTTCATGTCGTTGAAGTTGCATGAAGGTTCCCTGAAAGAGGGACATCCGGCAAGCTGTCCGCGTTAGCGCAGGCCGCTGGCATGCGGGCTACTTCACACATGAACGTACTGTTGAGAGGGAGAACATTCACAGCAACAAGAAGAACGTTGACCAATTTATACGTAATTAAAAGGACATAACACTACAATACACGTCGTCCGCCAGTTCTAGGTACGCAAGCCAGAAAATGACAGGTCATAGGGCCTGTTGCTCGCTATGACAACTTTTCCTCCGAGTGAGGATGTGAAACTTGGTCTCTCATTTTAAGAGAAGGGCATATTTGGATCTTTTGAGTACTGAGGGGAATATACAAGCCGGAAGGTCGCGGGTTCAAGTCCCGATGAGGTCTTTGGATTTTTTCAATTTACCTAATCCTTCCAGCCGCACTATGGCCCTGGGGTTCACTCAGCCTCTAACAGAAATGAGTACCAGGAATTAATTAAATAATTTTCCTGGGAAGTAAAGCGTGGCCGGCGCGTAAAGCTGACAACCTTACCCCCATCTTTGAACCGATTGTCTAGATAATGTGGAACCCTCAACGTCTCACAACCCTATGGGCCTTCACGGCCTGGTACAGGGATAGCTTTACTTTTCTTTACTTTTTACTGAGGGGAATATTTGTACCTAATTAAGTGGGCAGGGCATGTGGTACGAATGGGGGAGAAGAGGAATCCATATAGGATATTGGTGGAAAAGCCAGAAGGAAGGAGACCATTGGGAAGACCAAGGCGTAGGTGGGTGGGCAATATTAAAATGGATCTTAGAGAAATGGGTTGGGATGGTATGAATTGGATTGATCTGGCTCAGGATAGGGACCAGTGGAGGGCTCTTGTGAACACGGTAATGAACCTTCGGGTTTCATAAAATGCTGGGAAATTCTTGAGTACCTGCAGATTTGGCCTCTCCCCAAGAAGGGCTCACCTCCATAAGTAAGTAAATGGGGCAAAGTAACAAGAGGGCAAAAAGTTGTGAAATGAGAAGCCTGTACCAAACAGTCTGTTTTCGAAGTGACAGAATCAATAAGAGTGAGATGGACCGAACATATAGCGCGCATAGGAGTGATCAGAAATACATGCAGATCTAAGCATAAGCCGTGTAATCTGTAAGGAAAAAACAATTCAGGGATGTAGTAATAGATGGAAATACTGGATCCTAAAAGATAAGTGTGTACTGGTGAGGTCCAATGGTGGGCTGCTGTGGACATGGCAAGGATGCCCTATACAGACTTCTTACATTCCATGTGCCATTTTCCTTAGTTTAGGTTGTTTATCCAAAGGATCCGTCCAGGCCCAAGACCCTTTGTGACATTTTTGTAACAAGTTTATTTTTTACAGTGAGGAGTTGTCAGCCCCACGCCCAACCTTCATGGTGGAGGACTACCCCCTGTCTGCTGTCCGCGACTGCTTATTCAATATACGCATCTAGCCTCCGTATCTGGTGGCCGTCTGCCCCATCGACAACCTTGAGGACGCGCCATGCCGTGGTGACAAGGGACCCGCCTAACGTGGACAGAACCTCAGAGGAGGGTAATTGAGTGTTACTTTATATTTACTGTATATTTGTACCAAACGTAAAACACTCGCTAACAGTTTATTATTAACTTCAGGGCTTTGACATTTCTTTTTTCATCCAAAAATTTTCTTTAGTATAAAGCCCAAGCTGTTAGTTGTCCATGCCATATTATCTGTCCTCTGTTATTATCAACCGCCTCTGTGGTCTAGTGGTCAGAGTGCCTGGCTACAGTTTCAGAGGTCCTGGTTCGATTCCCGGCGCTACCAGATTTTCTGAGAAGTAGTGTGTCTGGGACGGGGTCCACTCAGCCTCGTGAGGATAATTGAGGAGCTATTGCAAGGAAATAGCGCTTCAGTCTATAAAACCGAATTAACGACCGTGGGGATTCGTTGCGCTGAACACGCGACACACACTATCCGCTAAAGTTGGCACTAACTTCCCCAAAAAGCGGAGTTTTCTAGACCGGAGCCGTCATTACCTTGAAATAGCTCTTCAGTTATCCTCACGAGGCTGAGTGGACTCCGTTCCAGACCCACTACTTCTCAGAAAATCTGGTAGAGCCGGGAACCGAACCCGGGACCTCTGCATCTGTAGCCAGGAACTCTGGCCGCTACACCACATAGGCGGTCTCAGACTTACCTACAGCAGATTAAAAGGGGAACACGCTCTTATTTTGCTAAGTTGTGACGCATTAATGCCGGAAGTTTCAACCGACCACAAGCCATCCGTTGCCTGTCTCACCTTCCGGCAAATATTATTAGCTGAAAATTATTTCAATAAAACGTTCTCTTTCAGATGGGGAAACTCTGACATATGTAAGGCTAGGTTTTGTTGGGAGGCATGCGTTAATGCCCACGAAGGACAAAAACCAACAGACAAACCTGCTGTCACATTCTGGAAGTGCAGAACTGTTCATAACGGAATTTCAAAGAATCTGTACACTCCCAAGTTCAATAAAACTTCCACTTAAAGCAGGTGCTCACTTCGAGGTACCCAAGAAATTCACGCCCAATAAACTATATGCCCCATATGCTTACGTATTTGTATTATGCAAGTCCATTTAGGACCTTATATACTCTACACTATTACCCGAAAATATATAAATTCCACTTTCATACTTATTTTAACTTTTTGTTATTTCATATCTGTACTCCTTTCCTTCTCTTCTACACTCCCCTTGTTTCTTTCTTTCTTTCCTGTTTTTTATTGCTAGTGGAGTTGGACTAAGTCCCT